CTTACTTCTAAAGTCAGTACACTCAATGCTAAGTCCGATTTTCATGTCTTCTTAGGTCAGGTATAAGAACTTAAGCTAGGGTCAATTGAGATTCAAGTCATATCAAATCAAGGAATCGCTTTATGCACCTCAAAGAGTGGACATTCAGCAACCACATAACCATGTCAGTTCCTTGCACTGAAGTCTCGTGTGTTGACACAGGACTTTTAAGTATTCGTTATTCGTTTTCATGGTTAGCTGCATTGTTTGCATGGCCAAAAATTTCGGTCTTTTGCTAATCTGGTGAAAGATTTCAAAGAACTGCAACAAATCACTCAGGGTCTTTTGATTCGGACATGAAAAGTATCGCTGCATAATTTTCCTGAGCCAACGATTCGCGACGCTAAAGCGCGAAGAGATGCGGACCAAAAATATGTGAAGGATGTTTTCCGGTTGGCAGGAATGCCTTCCACCACGCCAGATGTTAAGTACCACAGGGTCGAATAGTGCAGACAGAATCGGACACCCAGCCCAATATTAGTGTTATTTTACGTCGGATATGGCAGAAACCCGCTGCTCTCCATGGCTGTTGTAGTGGAACTGAACATCAGAGGATGTATCAAAGTCAATCCTCATGCAGTTCATCACGCCGCCATCCTCATTGCTCCTGCAGCAGGAACAATACAACAAAAGAAGCTATCCTGATTAAGCCGAACACCTCTCTGGCGCATGGAATGGAAGTAGTTAGGGCATACCAACGCATGATAATCCAACAAAGTCTACCAGCTGGATCACCCTTGATTAAGTCCAGGCCATTAAAACCTAAATCAGGTGGGCCAAAAGCCAAAGAAAGGAGGTATTAAAATCAGAGACAGCTCAGATCCTGATTCCCGGGGAAAAATCAGATAGAAAGACCGATGGCCCACCAAAGATTATTCTGTCGGAGCTGTCTAAGGCTAGGGAAGCGAGATTGGTGGTCGATTATACAGTCGCTGAAACCAAAACGAAATCAGTGTCCGTTAATTGGACCAGAGTAGTAGCTACAAACTTTCAGGACAATCTCCCTCTCAGTAGAACACTGCCTCTGTTTAGAAGGTAGCGAGTGCCTACGGAGATTCGGCGAAGAATTTGGGTTAACCCTTGATGACATAACGAAGTCTGTAGGGGTGCAGCTTGGTCATTCGCGGAGCCTGATCACGCGGCACAGGCAGCTATCGGGTCAAAAAACGTAAAAGCTCCTCTGACCTTACGTCCCAGGATCCACATCAACCAATGGAGAAATATTGTATTAAGGCTAATCTGGATACTGTCAGTGTGCCACGCTAACCCCTGTGGTGTTAGGGGAAATGGTGGAAGCTGGCGACATGCTGCAAAAACTCGATGATAATAGCCTTGGCCGAAACTTGGATGCGACATGAACAAGATGTAGAGAAGCCTTGAGACTACTCGGCTTATAGGCAGAACCGAGTGAATGGAAGGCAAGGAGGAGGAGGAGTACTCCCACTTACCAAAGCCGCTTACACTCAATGAGACTCAGAGTAAAACTGGCGCCACCCAATAAGTAGGATAAGGCTTGTAATATCCTCATGGGAAGACGACCATTAGGAGTGCTATTAGTCTATAGCGCGAACCCAAATGGAACCCACGAAAGGTATGGAATTACTTCTTATAGTGCAAGAATTCTTATCGAGGACTGAAAGGAGTACTTATGTAAGTACTACCAATCAAACACAGAAAACCAATTGCCCCACTTAAACGGTATTAGAGCCTTATGAACGTTTCAGGCCTGCAAGAAGCAGTGGAGCACGTAGATTGATTACCACAATCGCCTAAGCCAATCTTGGAAGAACGATGGGCTGTCATTAAGGTAGGGCTGTATAGACTGGCCGATAGGTTTACTCAACTAAAACCTAGAAGGAATAGGCAGCGACCCACAGCTAGATTGGGCACTAGTAGTGAATAGGGCCCATTTTATGGTTTACCGGACTGCCAATACGTGGTCAGTCTACAAGAAGGCACGCAACAGAACGCAAGTCTTACAAAGGGAGGCGAAGTATGACCATGAAAAAGGTTAGCACAAAATGTAAGGCATAACCCGAAAAGGTTTTATGCATATGTGCAAGCGAATAAAAACACTAAGGAGGGATTAGATACACTGGAGGTAACGGAAGGAGTAATGGCAACCAACAGGAAAACAGAATATGGATTTCATCCAAGCTAGAATAAGGGAGTAAATAACGGAGTTCGCTCTCTGAAAATGACGGTGCTCAATACCTCAACGCCTTAAATAAACATAAAGTAATAGGAACAAATGGATTATAACCCGCCGTGATTCAGTGTATTAGTGGGATCAGTGACTAGATTATTTAAGGAGTCCATAAGTAGCAGTAGCCTTCCAGAAGGCTGGAAAACTGCAACAGTAGTCGCTATACGCAAGTCAGGTTCCAGGCACAAAGCCTGCAGCTATAGGCCAGTAAGTGAAACTTCGGTCTTCTGTAAGGGCCTCGAGAGGACAGTCAGAAAACAGATCTGTGGGTATCTGATAACTCATATGTTTCTGACCCAAGTTCAGCATGGATTCGTTGAGAAATAATGCTGCCTAACCGACCGGCTGACATTTCTAGACGAAATGACAAAAAAAACAACGGAGGTCNAGGTGGAAGTTCGTTATTTAGGTTTTAGCAAAGCCTGAGACTCTGTCAATCATGAGCTGTTGGATATAAAAAAGCAGATGCGGGAGGTTCTAGGTAAAGCGAGCGAATGTATTAGGTAATTTCTCAACTGTCACACATTCAGTGTAAGAGTTGGAAATTATACAACCGAACCTGAGGGATATCCAGTGATGTTCCACAGGGATCTGTACTGGGTCCATTACTAGTCCTGGTCTCCATTAGCGATCTTGCGAAGGATCTCTATAATCCTCATTTTATATTCGCTGACGATATGAACTTAGCCGGGGAAGGGTTGTAAAAAAACCTAGATTTAATCCCAAAGTGATCGAATTGATGGGATTTACCACTGAATCTAAGTAAATGTCAGCTCTTGACCACAATAGCCAACGCTGACACAAGAAATGTGATGAATTTCCTGGATGTCTCTGAGGTAAAGAATTTGTGGGTCACGATCACAAATGACTTTAGACCACCCCTGCATTGCAAGCGTGCGACTAACAAAGTTCGACACGAAATTTTCGGGTTGTGCTGTTGGAAGTTGCAGAAGACCCGAGGTATTCGTACTTTTGTACAAAACTATTGTACATTCTTGTTTAAAATACTGTGTACATGCATGGGTGCCTTATTTTAAACAGGATGAACGGTGTCTTGAAAAAATACAGCGTTCAGCTACCAGAGTGGTAGCAAGCCAGAAAGGTAAGGGCTATCTCCAACGGCCGACTGACCTGGACCTGTTCTCCCTGGAGCGATATTATAAAGACTCTTAAGATTGTCAGAGGGCTTTTCGGTTTAAAGTTCGAATACCTTTTCTGTTTCTTCCAGAGGTACGAGGGGCTTCGCCTTAGACTGGCACTAAGTCATTGTCGGCTAGGTTCATAAGAAACAGAGTTATACCAATGTGGAATAAATTACCTGAAGCAGTGATTAACTACATGAGTGTCAAATTCTTCAAGAGAAAACTAGATAAGTGCTTACAAAAGTTCAAAAGCAGTCTTTCTGCGGGTAAGGGTTCGGGAAACTGGCTGTTCCACATAATCTAATGCTTCAATTTGTGATTACTTGCATCCAACTACACCGGATATATTGCTTTTCAACACTAACAGGAGACTTTGTCTCCGCTCACCCCGTGTGGTGACCAGCTATAAGTTCGGGAGAAGATCACATCAAGAATAGTGAAAACTAGAGCGGCTTCCGCTAATCTGTGACACCTGTGGTGCCGCAACGACATTCGACTGTCCCTTAAAAGAAGAGTGTACATCGCCGCGGTTCGTAGCGTTCTACTTTAGGGTTGCGACGCCTGGCTCCTGCGCGTTGAGGATGCTGATAGACTTCCTGTACTCGAAAGATCGCGAAAGCTACATGACCAATTCGGTATGCACTATTATTTCTAGTGCCTCATTACCCCTTCGGCTATACCCAAGACACCAGATGTCACCTCTATATTGTCTTCATTTAAATGAAGAGGTTAATGCAACAACATCAACAATCCTGCGATAGAAGTGCAATGAAAATTAGCTACCAAAAAACGAATAACAACATCTAGTTGTCGAAAACCACAGAGACACTGAAAGCAAAAATATTACTTTAAAATGGTCCTAATAAGCATTCTTGAGATGTAAATTGCAGTGTAATATTAAAAAACAGGAATTAAGCCCTAATACTACATGGTATTAGCTAATACCTAGGTACCTATAGATAACTAATTCTCAGTCGCTCGAAATAGGTGGAACAATCACGGTGTGCCGAAGTCAGTTATCAAATCACGTTTCATTAGTGCCTATGCACCAATGAATGAAAAACATCATTCGTCAACGTGCTCACGAGTAAAAATACTTTTGTCAAATCTCAATAAAAATAAAACGTTAGCACAGTTCTCAAACCGTGCGGAATTTTTAAAAAAAATATTATATCACTCAAATCTCACCGGTCTGAACAATCCAATTTCACAAATGCGTGTGAAAACCCATATCCCAGTCTATATGGCATAGAGATGCATTCGGAGATTAGGTCTTTTGATAAACTTTGCTTTGGTAAGGCCTGAAGGGAGTAAAAAACAGACAAATAAGTTACCTCTTCTGCAAAGCTTTCATTCTTATCATATTTTCCAGCATCTTCCTCTTCTAACCCATCAGAAAGTTGGGCTCCCTCGTCCGAGGACATTTTAGCAACCGAAGCGCGGTAACTAAAAATGTTATTTGTTTGACGCGCCTATGTAGAACAATAACATGCATATTTATCATGTTTTCAAAATATTGAATAACGTTTGAGCCATTACTACGACAATTTTTAAATCACTTGAATTTGTTTAAGTGTTTGGTTGTCCCCACAACCAAACAGCGGATTTTCAAAATGACCTCAGTGGCGCCGCCGATTGTGAAGGAGCACTTTCCGTCTAAGCGGGGAAAGATGCAAGCACACAATATGGCATTCACTCCACTAGCATTCTCTAGAAAAATCGATGTCGGTTCACCTCCGACCGCTGGGGCATTTATGGAGAAACCATTGAAACATGCCACACAATTTCGGATATTTTACAACCGCGGAGATTTTCCATTGGCTTTGGAGCACGATAGCAAAGGAAACAAAATTGCATGGAAAGTAGAGATAGAAAAGTTGGATTATCACTACTACCTGCCTTTGTTTTTTGAAGGTCTTGCTGAGACCGAACATCCATTTGAATTTTTCGCCCGACAAGGTGAGATATTTGTGAGTTGTTTCATGAACTCTACAGGTGTGCACGATTTGCTTGAACATGGAGGGGGTCGTGTACTCAGCGTTGTTCCGCAACTGATTATACCAATCAAAAATGCTCTGAATTTAAGAAACCACAAAGTTTGCTGTTCAGTTTTAAAAGCAATCCAACATCTGGTCATTTGCGAGGAAATGATTGGTGAAGCACTAGTTCCATATTATAGACAACTTCTCCCCGTCATGAACACCTTCATCAATAAAAACAAAAATTTGGGAGACGGAATTGATTACAGCCAGCAGAAACGTGAAAACCTTGGCGACCTAGTTCATGAAACACTGCAGTTACTAGAGAAGCATGGTGGGGAAAACGCTTTCATTAACATAAAGTACATGATCCCAACATATGAGTCATGTATGCTTCAGTGAACGAAGATCTTATACAACGCTTTCACCAATAACTTCTAAATGGTTTATCCTATTAGTGGAATAGACCAGTGCTTGTACAGTTTTTGTAGTTTCATCATTAACTTCAAATTTCTCAAGAAGACATTCTGTTTATTTCATCGTTTTTGAGAACTTCGGCTTATCCAATCGTGTCCAGTTTCTTAGATTTGCAATAAAGCTGTTAAAATTTCTTTACATGCTTTTATTTGGGTTTCTATGGTACACTCGAGGTTTGATGTTACAAGTGCTATCATTTTGCAATACACTATTGAATCACTTTGCCGCTGGTATAAAAACGATACGGAAAGCATTTGAGTAAATAACTAGCCAGTTAACATTAGTGTTTGTTGGTTAACGTCTCATTCCAGTGTGTCATATGCGTATGTATATTTTCAAGGTTCATAAAGTAAATATATATATTTACCACCGGCTTAAAGACAAGCATGGTGCCAAAGTAACAACAATAATAACAATGACAATAAAACGGGATGGGTGAATTTGGATACAGAACATAGTGAAGGAGAGTAATAGTCACCTGTAAACTATAATCTGTATCGCTCTTATTCCTGCTATAACTGAGGCACTCTTAAATGAGGAAGAAATGTGGATTTATCTTTAAATCAAAGTTGGGTACAAAATACATTCGTTGCTCCAAAGGATACTAGATGAGGATATAGAAGTACTTCTAATGGCTCTTTTGAATAGACTTTTAATAAATTACAGTCTCCCCAGGAACTGAATAGTGGTAGTTATAACCACCACCATTCAGACTGAGTAATATATTACTCAGTCTTCAGTATTGAGGTCAGGGTACTGGTGCAAGCCCCATCATCACTGAGTCGAAGGTCCAATCGCAAGTGTTTGTTGCTCCATAGCCCTTTCAGGTGCTCATCCAAACACCGATTGAAAGGAGCGTCTGTCTTCTCCTTCACCACGGTTGCTGGAAGGGAATTCCAGACTGTTTTTGACCTCCGCTGGAGTTGGTAGACTAACTGAATGAAGTTTCCGCAATGTGAGAGAGTGTCCGTAAAGGGAAACGCTCTTGCAACTCTGGGTTCATATCACCTCTCAGGATCTTCCTCAGACAGATAAGATCTCCCCTGAGGCGCCCATACGCAATTGGGAACAGGCCGGTAGCCTGTATACGACCTTCATAGCTGGTCCCGCAGAGTCCAACAACGAGTCCAGTGGCAGCACGTTGTACACACTCCAATTTATCCAGTTTACTGGCCATGCAGATGTATGTCGCCGAACCAACATACTCATGTCTGACATGTAAAGCGTACACCAGTCTGAAAGATCGCCGAACAGGCCCCAGAATGCTCTGAAGAAACATCGACTATGACGGGCCGTGAGGCGCATCAGAACGGGAACCCCGAGCTCGCAAAACAACCAAGTTACCGCTGGTTAAACCAGAAGACTCGTGGTTATTTTAGACATTTACTGAGGTATTGTGGCACAGAGAAAGTACCGATATCGACTAACGAGCGTTTGCGTTAAAGAACAAAAGGTACGAGAACCAACGAGCGCGATAACAGGCAAAACGGAGGGAAAGCAAAAAGTGAAAGTTCGCTTCGCGGAAGGATGAAGCAGTTTTCGATCGTGTAAAACAAACGTCACATGGCGTTCGTACTGAAGTGAAAATGTGAACATACATTTAGATTGTAGAGGAAAAATGATGTCCGGCAAAAGTCTGACGTGGTTCGGTTTTCACCGTACCACCGGGCGCACTACCGCTCCACGCGCTGGCACAGACCCAATCGGTGTTTTCTCGGGTGTTTAGTGATGACGTAACGATAACTCCCAGATCTCTGCACAATGTGGTTCCCGGGAAGTTGTAGACTACCTCTGAGTCAGCACGTACCAAGTGCAGGTGAAAACACTTTGCGGTGTTGACTGGAAGAGCCCAGGTGTCCGCCCACTGAGCCAGGATTTTCAGATCCGCTTGAAGAGTGTTCTGAGCCTCCGCACCCTCGATTGTACGCCAGATTTTGATGTCATCCGCATGCATGAGGGATGGGCTGCACAGCTGACCGTGCAGGTCGTTCACATAAACCACGAAGAGCGATGGACCAAGAACCGAGCTTTGAGGGACCCCACTGGGAGCGGANNNNCCACGCAGATAGCGATTTGCCAACGCGGACGCGGAATTTCCGGTCGACGAGGAAGTCTAGCAGCTAATGCAGCAAGACTACACCTACACCCAAGTTGGACAGCTTTCGGAGAAGACAGTCCTGTGATACCTTGTTGAAGTCCACGATCCGCAAGTTCGATCCACAAGGGAGAAAGAAGATTACCCTTGAAATTCCGCTAGTCAACCTGACATCTGTCGTGCTCAAAGTTACGCCAATAATTTTTTGGAACAGAATTCCGAGGGATGATGCTTTCTGTAAGTTATCATGAGCACATCCCTAAGTAGTCCTAACTCAGAAACATGCAGACCATGAGTCGTTAACATAGTCTGATTTCAGACAAAGGTGATATATATATATATATATATATGTCGACC